GGCTCAGGTCATGATCCTGGGGTCCTGGGATCCAGCCCTGTGTTGGGCTCCCTGCACAGCAGGCAACCTGCTTCTCCTTTTCCCTCTGCCCCTTCCCCTGCTTGTGCTCTCTCTTAAATGAATAAATAAAATCTCTTAAAAAAAAGAAATTATTTCATAGATTCTCATAGTCTTGCAAGAATTGAAAGAGAAAACAGATGCTTAGGAAACTGAAGAACTATCTCCTAGTGAAACAGGAACATGAGGTTATTGGATCACTAAGCTGGACCATCTGGTTTGATGGGGAATCATGAGGACTGACACTCCATGGCCCAAGACAAGTTTAGTGTTAAATTCAGAAGCAGAAACTCCCTTTCTGCACTGTAACCTGTGCTAGGAATACTCACCAGGGATGGGAACTATAGATTTTTAAACCTTTATCAGGAAAGCAAGTTCTAGTCCCTCTCCTACCCCACACTCAACTTCAGTCATGCAGCGAGAAATTAATGAGCCAGACCAGCCGAGCTGGGATCTGCAGAGCAGAGAGGTGGGGGATATGGAAGCCAAAGGCAGAAAAAGATCAACACTATGATCTCACAGTGGTTTGAAAAACCTTAAGATGAGAGTTTATTCAAGACATTCATCCCATATATTATGAATTGCTAAGATTTTGGCTGTCTTAAGAAATCCTCAAGAGGGAGCCTGGGTGGCTCAGTGGGTTGAGCCTCTGCCTTTGGCTCAGGTCATGGTCTCTGGGTCCTGGGATCGAGGCTTGCATCGGGCTCTCTGCTCAGTCTGCCTCTCTGCCTACTTGTGATTTCTCTCTCTGTCAAATAAATAAATAAATAAATAAATCTTAAAAAAAAAAAAAAGAAAGAAAGAAATCCTCAAGAAATATTAAAATACCAGCAATAATGCTATGTATTGAATACAGACATTGTAACTTCCCAAGTAGCCTCGTAGTGTTTGGAAAGCAGTGGAGAGGGCTCCAAGGTGATTGGTAGTAACATTTCTGCAGGCAGTGGGCTCCTAAACATGCCCTCGGGGAAATACTGGTCTGGGGGAGAATTTAAGTAAGTGAAACTGGTTGTAAACTTTTGACTTAATCAATGTAGGGCAGTTTTCAAAAATGGAAGTGCCCTAAAATCAAGGAATTAAACTCTGTTGTTGAAAAATTCAGCAGAGGGGTGTCTGGGTGGCTCAGTTAGGCATCTGCCTTCAGCTCCAGTCATGATCCCAGGGTCCTGGAATCAAGCCCCACAACAGGCTCTCTGCTCAGCAGGGAGCCTGCTTCTCCCTCTCCCTCTGCCTGCCACTCCCCCTGTTTGTGCTTGCTCTCTGTCTCTCTGTCAAATACATAAATAAAATCTTTTTTTAAAAATAGAAAGAAATTCAGCAGACTCACACTGAAGAGTCCTGCTCCTAATTGCCCAAAGGACACTTAACTTGTCTCCACCACGTATGTGTCTGATTACATCTCTTAAGAAATGTGCACAGAACACTTACAATTGTGCCAGAAGCTATTTAAATTATTATGCTTTTTTATTCACTACTATTCACTATTATTGCCTTCATATGAAGTAAATATGTTTCAAGTGTTTATTTGTGAATCAACACCTTGTATTCAGAACAGATTATAAATTCCTCCAGGGGACAGACTGGCACAGAGACAGTGAATTCTTCGGGTGGCGAAAGTTTTCATCTCCTTCCAGCCTGTGGTCTCATATGAACAGAAGTTTAATAAATAGTAGTTGAATTAATTTACAAAAATACTATAAAACATATATATCTCACAAAGTACATAAAATACTATGCATTGCCAAGTGGTATAAGTAGGTAATGAATGATACCATCTATACTAGTAATTTTAAACTAAAAGAAAAAAGTCAAATCACAGGGTTTTTGTTTTTTTTTAATCCATCTTAAACTTGGGTGTTTAAAGAAAAACACTATTAAATTCTGCTCTCACATGATCACATACAAGATAACTGTTACTCTGGGCTGCCACCTTTAGGGAGGGCTTAAATATTCAACAAATATTTATTGAACTTTCTTTAACATGTACAAAGCACAAAGATTTATGCAGATTTGTCAGACTCCGAAAAGTAATTCCAGACCCGACTACCAGGGGGCACCCTAAGCAAGCACATCTGAGTGGCTGGCAGAAGGGAAAAGAGGGCCAGGTGCTGCCTCTCCCAACATCCCTTTGTGAAACGTTCCTAGCTCAAAGAGCAACAATGCAGTCAAGTCTCTCTCCACTGTATACCTTTTTTGCTAGAAATATTACTAGAATGTGGAAATGGGGCCTGTCAAATGAGAATTCAGCTTTAATCAGTTTGCCATACATGCGTATGTACATATACATGGCCACTTTACCCTGAAACTATTCTGAACACAACCTTTCTTGAAACTAAGTAAGAAGTAAACAATCTTTAAAATAAAAAGCATATCATATGATTAAGATCTTAGTTGTCTACCTAGAAAATATACAATGTGACAGGCGTAGTAATCACTCTTTTCTTAATTCTGCTTGTCTTTACACACTATCGTTTTTAATATTTTTATTGTAGTAGAAATACATAATATTTAAGATTTTAACCATTTTATTGTACAGTTCTATGGTATTAAGTACATTTACAATGCTCTACAACCACCATCACCATCTGTCTGCACAACTTTTTCATTTCCCAAACTGAGACTCTGTTCCCACTAAACACAAAATCCCCATTCTCTCTTCCCCCAGCCCCTGACAGCCACCATTTTTTTGTCTCTATGATTTTGACTACTCTAGGTACCTGACATAAGTGGAATAATACAGTACTTGTCTTTTTTGTGATTGGCTTAGTTCACTTACGAACTTCCAGTTACAAAATAAACCAGTCACATGGATGAAAAGTACTGCATAATGTATTATAGCCAATAATACTGTAATACTTTGTATGGTGACCGATGATAACTACATGTATTGCTATGACCATTTCATAATGTATTTAATTGTCAAATCACAATGTTATATACATGAAACTAATATTAATATTTTATAGCAACTACAGTTCAATTAAAAATAAAAAATAAAGGGATGCCTGGGTGTCTCAGTCCTTAGGCTTCTGACTCAACTTCGGCTCAGGTCATGGTCTCTGGTGGTGGGATCCAGCCCTGCGCAGGGTTCCCTATTCACCGGGGAGTCTGCTTGAGATTCTCTCCCTCTCCCTTTGACTCACACACTTTCTCCCCTTCTCTCTAAAAATGAGCAAATAAATCTTTAATAATGAATAAATAAATAGAGAAAAATATTTGAAGGTCTTATAGAACAGTATTTCTCAATTAAAAAAAAAGAAAAACTAAGTCTACATGACCACCACCTACTACATACATACACCTTCAAGTTCTACAAGGAAGTAGGTATTTTAGATTTGCCTTTAGAAGCTTACTTTTCTTTCATCCCTGGGATAACTTCAGTTCAGATCAGAACTGAATAAGTAAATTCCCTAGGACAAGCACACTGATCTAAATTCTAATGAGGGTAACCAATGGAAGCTGTTCCATGGAAATTTGAAAACAACCAAAGATTCTAATCTTGCCACATTCTTGCAATAAATCCACCACTCATAAAGGTAATTCTACGATCATTTTCAGCTTCTAGAATGGCCAGCAAAATGCAGCCAACTAATATTTATTAACTATCTTGTCCAGGCCAAGCCCCACGCTTAAACCCTGAGCATGCAAAAGCAAACCCGGAGGCGCAGAGGGAACTCAAGAGTCCACCGAAACGGAGTAACAGGTAGGGACTGGATTCCTTCTTTGCTAGGTGGCCTTTTGGAGTTGGCTTTCCTTTGAAGTGTGTGCAGTACCAACTCTGGGGAGGAAAGAAGATGTTAAAACCTTCACCCCAGTCTGGGCAAGCAGGCTAACCTTTGCCCTAGCATCTGGTCACTACTACCAATAAGAAGGAGTGACTTGCAGGAACACCTTCCCTGTCACCTCGGGCAGGGCCAAGTCTCAAGTGCATCGGAGCAAGATCTTTAAAAACACACACACGCGCACACGCACAAAAGAATCCCTGTGACCGCCGGCTAAATTAAGTGTGTTTGACGGGAACCAGGCTCGCGGCCACTATTTATAGCTCCTCGGCTCCTTTCCCGGGACGCGCTCCAGCCTTTGCTCCGGCGTGGCCCTCGACAGCATCCACGCTGCGGCCCTGGCTCTTCTTTGGTCCATTCGGCCAGGTTACGTGGGAACCCCCTTTTCAGTGGCCCCAGCCCAGCGCTGGCTGTCTGGAATCGCGTCCCCCGGCGGCGAAACTCAGGGAAGGGGGGACGGCAAGACGCCCCAACGCCCACGCGCGAACCACCCACCCCGCTCAGAAGAGCCCCCAGCGCTGCGGCTCTGCCCTGAAAGGACAGGCGGGAGCTGGATGGCCTGGCAGACGCACGTGCGCGCTAGAGGCACCCCTGGGGCCCTCAGGGCCTGAACCAGTGCCGCCCTTCGCTCGCCCTCGCCCTCCTCCCTTGCCGGCCTCGTGCTTTCTGTGGAGACAGACACGAGGCCCGTGAGAGCCCGGCGGCAAGAAAGAGCCCCAGGCTCCACATCCAGAGCAGGAGGGCGCTCCCGTGGATGGGGCGCGGGATGCTTGTGCGGGTGAGAAAGCCGGACGGTTGCAGGGTGACGGGTGCAAGTTTAAGTGGGAATGAGTTTATGGTTGCGAGGTGAGGGGTGCAGGCGTGGTGTGACTGTATGTGTGGCGTGGGGCAGGTGCAGGCTGGCGGGAGGTGATGGGTATCTGAGGGTGCGAGGTGGGAAGCCGCTGCAGGTGGGTGTGCAGGATGGGGGACGAGCGGCGGTATGCGGGTGCGGGATGAGAATGAGGGGCGCAGTAGGGCGGCGGGGCGGGGGCCCTGCGCTGCGCCCTGGCACCGCCCCTGCGGGGCCCCCAGGCTGAGGTGGAGGCGGCGGGGGCGTGGCACGGCGGCCCGAGCTGCTGCTTGGGGGCGCCGAGCGCTGTGCGCACTGGGGCCGCGGGGATGGCCGCCTGGTCCGGGAGGCCGGGCCCTTGCGCGGGGCGCACGCGTTAAGTTGCACCGCACGTGTAAGAGAAATTCTCCTTTTCAGAGCGGCCGGGAACCCTGCTCGAGAAGGAGAGCACCCGCGTCGCCGCCGCGGCAGAGCGGGGTAAGAGCACAGCCGGGCGCCCCAGAGGTCCAGGCGCCGGCGGCCGGGGGGCAGCCCCGGGGCGGAAGGACTGGCGGGACGCCGGCGCCTCCGACCTTCCCAGACGGGCTCGGGCGTGCCGGGGCGGAGCTAGCGGGAGCCAGAGCCCCGCTGCCTGTTTGCGGCTGCCGGCCTCTCAGAATTCTTTCGGGAATCTTTGGGAAAGTGGTGGGAGCGGCAGGTCTAGAGAGCGGGACTCAGGAAACTTTCTGGAGAACTTTGGGAATAACTGATGTTTCTTTGCTCCTGGAGATCTCTGGGAGCGCCAGTTCTCTGCTGCGTAATGGCTTTCCTTCGTGGATGGCGGAGGGCTGGGTTGAAAATGTTTTCTTGATGGTATTTTTCCCCTTGAGTGGGGAAGCTGGAGTGGCTCTAGAACTTCAGATCTAAGGGATCTGAAGGACTGCTTAAATACTTGGACACTCTGAACAGCTACCACAGCCGCAAGACACGGAGTTCAGCTGCTAGCGTTTAGCATCGCCACGCTTTCTCCAGAGTCGTGTTGGTGTCTTTTAGGAGATGTTGGCTCGCCTACTTCTTTAAGGAAAATTTTTGAAAGTTTTTCTTTTCTTTTTTCTTTTCTTTTAAGAAACGCTTTAGTTGTAAGTACCACGATCCAATTCCTTGACCTATATGCTTGTTATGGTGTGTTTAAGTATAAAGAATTTACAGAAGAGTGGAAAAACACTTATCTGCGTTCTACAGTAATCCCTTCTTTTAGGGGCTGTTCTGACAGTAAACTGCAGCGACGCGGGTGTATTTGCCTTGCAGTCTCCTCTACACTCTAGTGAGCAGAATTCATCCCAGTTTACAGAGCTCTAAGTTCATGAATATCTGTGACTGGGACTTTAGGGACAAGTGGAGTTCCCCAGTTTTTACTTTACCAAGATACCGCCAAAACATGTCACTTAAAAATGGTTGTATAGAAACAGCTGAGACGTGAATTGTGCTTTGGTTTATATTACTCAAGAATTCAAATTGATGATTTATGGTATGTACATCACTTCACTGACAGTCCATCAATGTCCTGTGAGATATATTGCAAAACAAATATTAAAAGATTAAAGCGGGAAAGGGGAGACTTATTTTCCAAGGGTCAGTGTGTTCAAAGTAAACAGCAGCTAGTTTGGCACATATTCCACTGGCTCAGCAGTTTGATTCATGTTGAGATAAGCATCTCACAAGGGCAATGCACGTGTTCCTGTAGTGTAGAGTAATTCACAAAAACTTTACTACTATAACAAACTAAACAGTTATTTAGGTTAACCAGTTGATGTTAACAGGCTTAAAGCCATCTTAAGATAATCAAATGTAACAAAATTTCACTGTTTGTAAATAAGAAAAACAATAGTGACCGTTTCCTTGAATGTTACTTACATTTTAAGTTGTGTTCATTTTCTTAACAAAAATAACTTTTGCTATACGTTTGAGCCTTAAAAGTAATTGTGTATGTATCACAGCCATTTTATAAAGTCTCATGTATGTAAAGAATTTAAACTATAATTAGTCTTCAGATGTTAAAATTACTTGAACATGCACCTAACACTGAATAAATAGAATGTATGTATTTTTAGGATTTTACCCCAGTATCGCTCATAAATACATGAGTAAACACATGGTTTTTGTACTGTACCAAATTACCAGAACATTCTAGACAGCAGAAGGGCCTTTGAGAAGTATTTCACCCTGTACAGACAGCATGGTTCTCTGTATTAAGATACAGCCAAACTCATGATTAACATACAGTGGCCTTCTCTCTTCTGCTCCACTGTGTTGTGGCCATCACCAAGACTATATAATGCTTGTCTTACCTTATTTTGATTCATTTTGTTGCAAGTCTGCCTTGCCCATAGATTGTGAATGAAACTCCTGAGCATAAGGACCATCTCTTAATTAGTAGCACCGTGCCCCACACATGATAGGTGCTTGATAAGTGCTTACTAAGTTGACATTTAGTAAAAACGTCTAATACATGTGATCATTAACAGCATACCTGTGTCTCTAAGAACAGTATGTTTTTGCCATTTCGATATAATGCATAAAGGGAATAAAATATTGATAAAGTTTAATTATAATTTTCATTCTGACAGTGGTGGAAAATTCTTCATCATGATAATTAGGTTAGTACTCTACTGCTTTTTTAAAATCTTTGGTCTTCAGAAGTATGACTTCATGATAGTTGATGTAAACAGTTTCTGCACTCTGATCTTTTCTTTAATTTGAAGAATTAGTGGTTTGCTTTAAATTTACTTTTGACAAACTAATGATACTAAACATAAAAATCACATTTTTTTCATTCACACCACCTGATTATCTCCACGAATTAACACTCATTCCACTCATGAAATTCCATTTCATATTAACCTTATAATGAATCTTTTAATCTAGAACATAGAAGAGATTTCTGTGTTGTATACTAATAAAAGTGGGTTTGAACAAGAAAAGTGAAATTATATTTATGCTATAGAAATTATTATTGCAAAAATAGAAAACATTTTGACAGATGTAATTTGTGTCAGTAATACAAATGGAAAAATAAAATATAATTATAAGGCTGTGAGGTTTTGTTCACTAAAACAAGAGTAAAGATAATAGCTGAATTTGCTTTAAAATGACATTGCCAATTTATATGATGGAGTAACAGGACTGTTCTTAGCATGTCAATAATATTTAACAATTTTAGCCACTTTGGAATGGAAGAAAAAGAGCAAAAGCTTAAAATGGACTCTAACCCATGTTTCTAAACATACATTTTAATGTGTGGTAGAGCAATATAACTAAAAAGGCAGCTGTTGTCATCTCAACTTTCGGTGTGGTGCATAATCCCGTGAAGTCACGCGGAAGGGGAAAGTACACTGGACCAAGAGTAGAAAGTCAGGAGTTTTCGTGCTGGCTTCAGCACTGTGGGCTTCCTAGCCTTCCGCAAATCACACTACCCTCTCGGGGCCTCCATATTCCCATATCCCCATCTGTAAAATGAAGAGGATAAACCAGACCACTTCTGAGGTTCTTTGAGCTCTAAAATGCTGTGATTCTATATTTCCTTCATGGGTGAGCAAGATTCTTGAAGGATGTAATTTGGATATAGGGGGCAATTACCTTTTAACTGACCAGACTATATGAAGTCAGCGCTTAGTAATACGATTCCCACAGCCTGGTCTGTGTTTTAGTCGAGATCCTGTTCAGAGCACTAATATGTGGAAGTACCCCTATAATTTTCTTTATTGTTATTTACCCTTACCCCAAGCCACCTTTCAGGAAGTATTGGTAAATTGAATTTTACTTCAAGGGTAGTGACTTTTTTTTTTCATTATTCAGTTACTAAAATTTTGAGGACTAACGTTGAAACACATTAAAATCATTGCTAAATTACACCAAAATGTGTAAGTAAAATATTTAAATAAGTGAAAACTTCATGTGGTATTCTTAGGTCTTTCACAGAAGTTATTTTTAAAACTTTTAATGCCATTTAATAATTGGCAGGAGAAACTGGAGGACTCCACAGGGTAATGGAACAAGGAACACATTTGGAGGGTTTTAAAAGGAAGCCCAGTATGGCATGAATAGTATTGGAAGTCAGTCATGTTTCTAATTATACTCCAGACTATTTACATTTTTCTGTCAATTGAAGTGAAGCTCAACCAGCTGTTAATTTTCTAGCTTAATATTAGAACTCTAATTGTAGAAATGGTGACTTAATACTAATTTCTGGTAGGATTATTTATTTTATTCAAGTATTTCAAGAAGAAATACTGTGGATAAGAAGTTAAGGATATTTTTAATTTTGTAATTCTTAAATATAAAAATTGAAAAAAAATCGAAGACATTTGTTTTAAACTAATATAGTTGTTTAAGTTGCTTCCAACACAAAATTAGCTCTTACTTAGCTTTGCAGTTACAGAATGTCAAAAACAAAAGAAAAACTGAGTTTTTCCCTTTGACTAAAGATGAGAAGTGTTAATGATATTTACTTTAGCCAAGTAAAGATTTAAAGAGCACGTGACTTTTTATAAACAATTTAAAATCCAACGCCCCCAAAGAAAATTAAAATTCCCACATGAGGGGCGCCTGGGTGGCTCAGTGGGTTAAATCCTCTGCCTTCGGCTCAGGTCATGGTCTCAAGGTCCTGGGATCCATCCCCGCATCGGGCTTTCTGCTCAGCAAGAAGCCTGCTTCTCCTTCTCCTTCTTCTCCTTCTGCCCGCCTCTCTGCCTACTTGTGATCTCTGTCTATCAAATAAATAAATAAATTCTAAAAAAAAAATTCCCACATGAAAGAGAAAATAGAAGGATAATAATAACACATGGATGGCAAGTGATTTCTATCCATTCTTATTTAGTAAGTAAAATAAGTTAGAATAAAAGTATAACTTAAGGTACACCTGGCTGGCTCAGTCGGTGGAGTATGCAACTCTTGATCTTGGGGTTATAAGTTTGGGGCCCATGTTGGGTGTAGAGATAACTTGAAAAATAAAATCCAAAAAGAAAAACTATAATTTAAAACAATTTCATGTTTCTGGAGATTTGTTCTCTGACAATAAAAATATATGATTCTAACAGTGCTTTAAAATTATTGATAAGAAAGTTAGAAAATTAGTGTTTTATAATTTCATTAAATCAGTTTGTCTCTCTAAGAGACATCATCTGTATGAGAGTTAAGTCTCCTGCCAGAGCATGAGATTACTGAAAAGTTAAGTAATAGAAACCCTGTGCTTTTCCATTTAAAATAAGGGATCCAGGATGCCTGGGTGGCTCAGTGGGTTAAGCCTCTGCCTTCGGCTCAGGTCATGATCTCAGGGACCTGGGACCTAGCCCCATGTCGGGCGGTCTGCTTAGTGGGGAGCCTGCTTCCCCCTCTCTCTCTGCCTGCCTCTCTGCCTACTGTGATCTCTCTCTCTGTCAAATAAATAAATAAAATCTTTTAAAAAATAAAAAAATAATAATAAAATAAGGAATCCCTTG